TAATTCAAACCTGTATACATTTTCTTTGTTAATTTATTCCAACTCAAATTTAATTATCTCGCTTATGAATAACTTAATAAATTAGTACTAATTCAAAGCGAAATGTGTGCTTACAATTATCCGCTATGTCTGTGTCAACCAAATTGTGATTGTAACTAACTGGAAGTAATCCTTGTGAAACTTTACTTCGGCTTCTGCTCTAAAATTTAATACGAAATATAATCATAATTAAACAAAGAAATTTAGTAAGTACATATAATAATATAATATAAATACTAATAAATTGAGACTTTATCATTGTTAACACACAATTTAACTAGAGAAGACTTATTTGACTAACTACACTACTATTATTATCATCTATATCTATTGTATCAATGAAAGTATTTTTTATAAAGTTATTTTTTAAACATATTTTTAAAATTTTAAGTATCTAAGCTTATTCATAAATAAATATTTTTATATATATATATATATATATAGTTCGACAGTGCAGTTCAAAATTGTAACTGAAAAAAGCTTTCATTTCATTATTTTTAAATAATAATCTTAAAATCCTATAGTTAAATAAATTCTGTACAACGTTGTATTATTTGTAGTTATTTTTAGTTGTTCCAGATTTTAACCGACGCATCGATATTAGGTATTCTTATATTATTATATTTTTAAATAAATATAAGTAGGTCTACATCGATCGTTTCTAATGGTAGTTAATTATATTCGAACTTCAATATTGTAATAGAATAATCTAAACCCTATTAGTCCAAAATTTTAATTTCAACAACTGATCAATGGATTGATTATCAATAGTTTGATAACAGCCTTTTTTTTATCCATAGGATATTTTTTTAATATACTCGTGAGTATATTAAAAACGAAATATTTGGTTACTCCATGCATTTTATATTGTAATCATAATAAGTAGATACAGTTTATATTAACAAATTATAATCAATTAATAGAATCAGAAAATGATAATAAAACGATGTGTTAGTAGTGTAAAAAAATAATAAATAATCTAATATGCAATGAATAAAAGAAAAAGAAAATCGTCATGAATCAAAAATATTGGCCAGCAATGGAATTTTCGAAAACCGTAGACTCTCGACGACAACCGCTTACGCACAAATAGCAGACGAAAAAAATGACATTTTTAACACTTTGATGCGACGATATTATAATAATAGCTATACTACGCGCGCCCCGCATTGCAACAATCGCCGCGATATCGAGTCACGTTTCTAGAGCCGCAAAAATTCTCCCTCAAATAAATCATCTACTCATCTACTAAACCATCGAACGCAATATTCTTAACACTAACTATTTTTCTTTTATTCTAGACACTAATTTTGACGCATCCATCATAATTATATTATAAAACTATGTTTTTTATTTTTCATTTTCAATATTAACTTTATTTTTAGCAGTACAAGTATGTATATTTTTAAATCTTTGCAAGATAAAAACTGATAGTTGAGCAAAATAGTTTAATACTAAAAACTAATAAAAGAAAAATCATTGAAAACAAAATAGATAATCTCGCAGACTGCACCGGGAGTCCGCAGCAGTGATGACAACAAGTAACAGTATCGTTTATTCGCGCAACATTCTCCCTGAACCGTATGAAAACGCGCTTTTTCAAATCTCCTAGGTCCCTGTATATACATTATAAACGGAATGTTTCTCATTAATGACGCGTTTGCCGACGGCTCAGTACGTAATACGGGAGTGGCACGCAAACAGTACGCAGCGGAGTGGGCACAACGGCGGTGGTATATATCTGTTCCGTTTTCGTTCTATTTCGGTCCGGCCGGCTCATCCGAAGATCGTCCGAATATTTTCATCGACGCCTCGGCGGCATTATTATATTATATTTTTACGTGAAATGATGATAACGATGATGATATTAACAATGATAGTGATGTTAATAATGACGATGCGACGATATTCTTTTTATTTTTACGCGACAATAACAATCAGTGGCGGTTTTTAGAATTTTCTCTGAGGTCCTTTGATATTATCTTATAATATATTAAAATGTTTAACACATTAATAATTTATTACTTAAATTTAATTTTCATATAAACGAAAAAAAAAACATAATATAGACATATTTTAAACCAAAAGGTTCCAAGCAAATAATAAATCACATCTTGAACTCAGAAATTTGGGGGGGGGGATCCAGATTCCCTGAACCCGCCCTCCCGTAAAGCCACCACTGTGCACAATACTATTATCAGTCATCGCATAACATACAACTTAGGATATACACTATATCATTTGAATACACAACACACGCTCGCCTGGCCAGTGCAACTCCCTTCCGGCTGTAGTACACAGGTCATTGCCTAAATGTGCGCGATAGGTTTTTCGGAAATTCTAGTTGCGGAGTTGAGAAACACAAACGCAACGTAGACGATCGCAGCGCGCGCACGAGATAGATACAGCGAAAATTGCGGGATCAGCACGTAGTCGGACGAGCGGGCGCACGCGCGCCGGAAAATAAAATAGAAAACACGCATGAATCATCGCGATTACAGACGCCATCATTGCCTGTGCGATTTATAGGTAAATATTAAATTATTGTTATCGTTATCACGTGGCAATATCGCTTGGCGGACATGAAAACATCGTTTAGCACATTATCGCGGTATAGGTGCGTAACATTAGGTAATAGTAGGAAGTTATTATTATCAGTACCTATGTATTGGTATTACCTCGGAATGATGGTTGCTCCGGGACCGGTTGTCCGTCTGCCGCTTTTGCGAATTGTTGCTACAACTTCTCTTCCTGTTACCCGTGAACATCATCGTGTCGACGTGTTGTATTCTCATTCTGTGCGACGACCGATGGAGTCGTCAGTTGCACACCTACATACCCGACCGGCATACGCGCCACTGCAGTCCGTACCTACGACGCGATAAATCGCGTGCGATCGATGCGCGTACCTACCTACCCATACGTTTGATGGGTGTTCTTGTTCGTTATCCGCTTCGGTTTTTTTTCCGACGAATAACCGATGTCCAACTTGATTGTTACTAATATTATTATTATTATTATTATTATTATAGTACGATGGCGTAGCAGCGTGCCGCGACGATGTCGATGAGAATGTATGCGATTCCAAAGAAACGATGTGTTATTTATCGTACACAATAATACATACTTACAACGTATGATTGTGATTATTATTATGTTACGTCAGCGGTCGTGGTCAATAATAATATTTATTACGACTAGACTGTTCGCGATGATATATTTAACTATAACAATATACTGATACCGTATTATTGTTATAATTATTGCTAAAAACGAGTCACGCGTGCACGGCGACGGCAAAAATGACAGTTGTGCGGTGATCGCGTGCGGTATAAAAATAGAAATTTTCGGATGAACCGTGGTCGCATCATGACTGGAGCGCGCGCCAGCCGAATTTCGCGCCCGTTGTTTTGACTGTGATGCCGACCACATCCCTTCCATCTCGGACTGCCCCACCGTACCGCCTAACCCGATAGAAACACTTACCAGCTTCGGCAACCAATGGCGTGGGGGTGGGCGATGACCCCGTTTTTCGATTTTTCTCCCATCCGTAAAATACCAATAATGTTCTACTATGCAAATAATTATATCATTAACTTTGAATAAAATAAACAAATACATGATTTAATATCTATTTGGATATTTTATGAAAACAAAGTTCAAACGAAACCAATTTTTTTCTTCAACGAAACGCTAACGCATTTATTGCTGACTGCCGGTTATTAATACATGCTAAATCTACCACATTTACTCGTACAATATGAAAAAAAAAATCTAAATAAACTATATGTATCATGTAGGTACATTAGATTTAGTACTTACACATGTCAGAATTCAACATCATTTAAAGATTTGAAATTTAGATATTTATCTGGTCTTAAACTATTGGTCTTTGATCGATATTAGAAGCAAAAGAGTTAACTACTCGGTCATCTGTAGTATGTTAGACAATCTGTAATTTTAAGCAGTTTATGATCTGATATTTATTTTAATTCGTTTGAAATACCTGTTGAATAAATTAAAATGTTCTAGATTCAATAGATAATAATCTGAGTTTAATAAATGTTGAGTATTTAATATTATTTGTGAATAATTAAGACTCGATAACTCGAAAACCTAAAAAAAATAAACAAATATCCACCTTTAAATTTTTTTAAGATTTATAGTTTTCGTAATTCATTAAAATTATAAATATGTTGTATCATTACACATCATTGTTTGCTCACCGTTTTGTGGAGTACAATGAATTTAAGAAAAAAAAACTGGCACATTACGTTCTAGACCAGCGTTTTCCAAACTGTCGTCCGCGGACCCTTAAGGGTCCGCACGTATACCAGAGGAGGTCCGCGAACATAAATTAAAAATACACAAGGTAACCTATCTATGAAAACGAAAATACTGTAATATTCGTATTATATGTGAAACGCATTGCCGAAGTACGAGTAGTTATCGTTGAAAAGCAGTTAAGATTAGAGGCAGACTGATAGGTCTGTATCACCAGCATGGCCATTAACCAATTATTATAAAATTGAAATACAACTTATACAGTATTCAGGGCCGTGGCCAGGGTGGGGGGGTCTTTTGCCGGGGCGGCAAATTTTTAGGGGCGGCAAAATATAAAAACATTTGACATTGAAATGCCATAATAAATATACGCGCGTACCGCCGACTGATTTATACCGCGATAACGACGGTCGACGTCGGGTATCTGATCAATTTTTGATATGGCAAAATAACAAAACAATTAATATTTGTCACTGTAATTCATTTATTCTGTGGTACAGGTAATATATTTTTATCGGTAGTTTTACAGCTATCGTCGTATTCCGGGAAAAAATCAGAACTATTAATATTCCGTGGTACATAAATCTTTGATGGTGCGGTTGTTTATGAACATAGATCTATGTTCGTGAGTCTTGATTATCATTTTATATTTATAATGTACTAGCGCTATCACACTATAATCATTTATTTTCGTGATTTGTGATTCGACTGACGTGTTTTTTGAAAGTGTACCTATTAATCATATAGTTTATTTTAATAATTAAACAGTTTTATTGCCTACAAAAGTTAAAGAAAATTATCATAATCTACATATTCAACATCTTAGAGTTAATACGGTAAGAAAATATTTAATAATTAAAATTTATTTATAGTAAAACAATTTGTGAGTGCCTTGTATAACATCAAGAGCATCATCAATCTCATTTGAAGAAATAATCAAAACATTTGCAGTCAAAAAATCAAGAAAAATCAAATTTTTATTAATCTTTAATTTACACTTTTAGTTTTTAAGAATAGTTATGTTATGTAGGTATATTTTGTATAGTTTTAGCATAAATTTTTATGTCTTAATTTTTCAAAAAACCTAACAGTATAATAAATATTACAACAGTATAATAGCATATTTGTCACTTAACATCCGATAAAATATTAAAAATTTTAGAATTTTTCTCAAACTTATATTGTAATAACAACACTGAAATTTATTTGTAAATTATTGGGGCTGAGTGATGGAAAGGCTGGCGGCAAAATTAAAGCTTGCCCCTCTTAGAATAATGTGTGGCTGCGGTCCTGACAATATTATGTACTTTTTTTGTACAATTTTGTATACCCACCCAATCCCGAGAAAACCCGATTTTTTTATAGTCATCACATTTTATACTGTGCCTACTACCTATAATAGCTATAATGCTATACAGTAATACCGTCCTACTAAAATAATGTGACAATAAGTTAATAATAACTTAATAATAGCCCACTAAACATTTGATGTTACCAACATCCCAACGATGTTGGTTATGTTATATTTAAATCATCTATGATTTGTACAACCCGTGTTATAAGATAACGATATTTATTTATAACACTTAACTATACCCTATACCAGTGGTCGGCATCCCGCGGCCCGTGGGCCGCATGTGGCCCGGGAAGCACTTTTTTATGGCCCGTACAAAGGTGGTTAATTTTTGTGTTTTATTTTTATTCAATAAAATTGTTCATACAATTTTCAATACTATTCAATTCTTTTTTCTTTATTAGTAAAATCTAATCTAATCATTAATAGTTGATGTTTATTCTATATAGTTATATAGTCAGTTTAATCTATAAAATTGTTATTATTATCTAATCGGAGTCGAAGATAATGATGGCTGCACTACTCAGTCATAGGATAAATTAAATATACTAATATACCTATTTTTAAAAATTAAATATATTTAAATATATTTATATATATATAAATAAAAAAAAATAAATACATAAATAAATATATTATATTTTAATTATATTTAATCTATGGTCACAGTTACTTTGCGTTTGTAGCAATTAGTATTACACCATGATTACGCCCGTACGTGTGACTTTTTGCGTTTGTAATAGTTTCATTTAACAAGTAAATCCAAACATTATGGCGACTAAAAAAAGAAAAATTTGTAATGAACATCGTTTTTTTTAATAATTCTTGGGCTACTTTATACTTTTTCACTTTTTCGTCGAAAACTAAGGTAAACCATTATGTTTAATTTGTCAAAAAATTAAATTTTTTCTTAAAAGCAATTTTTTCCAGTAGCATTTGTATTTTTTACACTCATATTTCTATATAAAATAATCAAATATAATAGCAATACAATTATTAGTATATATCATATGTAAACATTTTTTTTTTAATGTGGCCCTTGATAAACATTTGAAAAAAAAATATGGCCCACGTGGTTCAAAAGGTTGCTGATCCCTGCCCTATACCATAGCTGCCGCGGGCGTCGGCAGGATCAGTGTTTATAATAATGAAAAAAAAGATAACATTCTATGAATTTGTCATCCAAATTACTAGATTATTTAGGTTGTTTATAAATACCTAATTTTGTAATTTTGTATGAATTCATTCGACTACCCAATTACAAAAATACTCGACATTTCGACCACCGTCGTTTTTCAGACAGGTCTTTTCTGTATTTTAAATTTCTATCATCTGTGTCTGTTGTGTACTGTACTTTAGTATTACTAATTTGGACTTGCTACATCTTATATTGTCATTACAGTGAGTGTTACGTCTATTGCGATTCTATCATAATAAAATCATTTTTATTGATTTATTTATTTTTATTAACCTATTTGATATATTGTATAGAATACAAATATCTGCAATTTTTGGACAGTTAAAAAAGATAAGATTATTAATTATGAAATAATTTATTGGATCTTTTTGTTACTTCTCTTTATTTTTAAGCGTAAATACTTACTATATTTTGATTTAATAATTTTTGCAGAGCCACAGAAGAAAATGGGTTATTGTTATATTCGATTCTTGTAAACAATATAGTGTTTTGCCTGTGAATTGGTTAGTCGAACCTGAAGCAAATAACATAGAAAGATTTTGTTATTGGCCAAATAGTTGAGTTACAAGCAATGAGTTGAGGGAAGCTGAAGAACCAAATTTTGATTGGAACATTTTTAAAATAAATATTCTTGGTAGCGATAACTCGTTTTTTGGTGAATAGTAAATCTCAATTCATTTTAGAATAAAATAACAATTTTATAATTTTTAAATTTATCTTGTTTTACAATCTTTATTATTGAATAACAATAAGATACTGCTTACTAAATTATTAAGTATTTAAATTAGATAAAATCAATGTTATGATGAATATCTATGAATTTTAGATTGTTTTAATAAAGCATGGCATACCCAAATGGATATTGAATCATCCACAAAAGATGAGCTTCAAAATCAGAAAAAAGTAAAAACTCAACCGGCTAGTACATTTTCAGATGAAAGTGAATATGGCATGTTGTTTAGTTTAGATTATTGAATACGTATCAATAACAACAAATTAATTAATTCATTGAATATCCTATATTTATAATTAATATTTTCGTAATTTTATTTTAGAACCAAGTGCAAAAATTATACCGTATGCCAAGTTCTCAGGTTAACCAAGACAATATACTGAATTAGTTACATCTTCAAATATTTACTTAGGGCCATCAGCTTTATCATCATTATCAAACCATCAATAAAATATACCAGTAAATCATCATGCCATTTTAATTTTTAAAATAAATTATGAAAACATTCATTAGGTACTCATTAATAATAACTTTATAAATTAAAAAGTCAATTCCAAATAATAATTACTAAATTAGATTAAATGCATGTCGAGCTTAAATAGCAAAGATATATTATTATATATTGTACATCTATATTGGTATAAAGAAATTTGTACTTCATTTTTTTTATCAGTAAGAAATTTTAAATTTAATTTTGTATCATTGTTACAGATAGGTGCTTATAAATATAATAGTGGTTATCCTATTGAATTAAATCATACATTAAGTCTGAGTGGTAAAATTCTTAAAATTAATGATGCTTTAAATAAAATATATAAAGAGCAAGTATCTTCAAATTTATTACTGCAACGTGTTTTGTCTAAAATTGAAGGCATAGAAGCAAATAGTCTAACAATTTCCAAGAAGTTTGTACATTTGGATTCTAATTTTTTAAATCTATTTCCAATAAATAGTACCATAAGTTTTATGCAAAATAAAAACAGGATTCGTGATGATTCAGATTTTATTTTAAAACTAGCTTTGTGGAAGCATGAAACGTATATGTTTCGCACTCTGCTATTTTTGTGGCTGTGCAAAAAAAAATATACAAATGCTACAAGACCTCTACTATAGTTATTATGTTTCTTTTAATCTTATTATCTTACTTGTATACAATTAATATACATATTTTGTTAACTTAAAATAATAGGTTCTAATATAAATGGCGGATGAATCTAGAGAAAGGAAACCTAAAGCTATTAATGATATCATAGATAGTGAAATATCGAAATTTAGAGATCAGATTGTCCTCAAAAATATTAGTAAGTTAGACAGTTTTTGATTTTTACATATTTTATTTGGATATGTTTATTCTGGCGATCATTTGGAAAATTATAAAACGTATTATGTATTTTGGATAATATAATTGATTAGGTACATATTTTACCATTCGTTTTGATGGTCGATAGCTGTTTAATATCCTGTTAGTACCTAATTAGTAATTAGTTTGAATGATTTAGTATTTATATTTTAAGACACTTTCTAATACATTAAATTTTATGTGTATAAACTGTTATTTTTCATTAAGCATTAAGGAAATTTTAAAATAATTAAGATAAAGGAATTTATTCCAAAGTGTTTGTTGTATATTATGTGAATTCGTGTCACATATTACCGTTGAAAAATATCAGTTAAGTTTTTTTTAACATGGATATAAATAATATAAAAATTATTTTATCGAAAACTTTTGATTGGAACCTTATTTTGAATTGTTATAATTGTTTATATAAATATTTTTTGTAGAATGTAGTTCAAAATTTAAAATATCAACATCGAAGAGTTTTTTGTGCTCAATTGGTATTTTATGTTTTTTATACTTTAGCACTTTTTCCGATACTATCAATTATTTTACAGTTTTTTTGGTGGTTGTGATTTGTAATTACATTGCACTATACCACTGACAAATATTGTAGAATTATATTGATTCTACTAAAAAAATACCAAAGCGAATCTATCCTCCCCAATTACCCCAAGTAAATTCGTTGCTATTTGTTATCTGATTTGAAATAATAATTTTCTAACTTTTATTCGCGTTTAGATTGAATAATTACATTTTGATAAATAATATAAACGGTATAGGTATTTTACAAACAATATGATGGTTCAGAACTTATAATAAATCTTAGCTGTTGGAATAATTATTTAATTATTAGGTAAATTTATAGTTATATTTGCAATTGTGATTTGTAATGTTTCTAATTTCTAATTGTTATCAGGCGGTAATTAGTTGTGCAATAAATGATTTACAGATTTGTCAGCAAAAAAAAAAAAATAAAAATATTTTTACATTTAATGATATAAAAATCATTAAAAAAAGATAAGTGGATGTCGCTCTGCTATACAGTAGCTTACATGTGCGTTACTGTAATGAATGAATTGAATTTGAATTCAATGATATAAAATTATTGTATACGAAAAACGATTCTGAGCGGAGACGGATGGTCAGTGTTGAGCCAAGATAACTAAAAATATTTTATCTAGATAAAGACAATAAAGTTAACTTTTTATCTAGATAAATTCGAGATTAATTTTATATTTATTACCATAATCAATCAGCAATATGGTTGTGATATTTTAAAAATCGACATAGTTACCAGGTACGTATTTATGAGGGAGGCCGAGGGGGCCCGGTCCCCCTCTGAAATGAAAAACACCATTGTTAAAGATTGTTATTTTTAACATGGATATGTCTTAATGCTGGGGGTTTCCGAAAATTTTTCGCGACGCAGAGAATGTTGTTATGCGATAATTTAAAATTTTATATTTATAAAATATGTTTATTCTTTTAAGAAAATATATGATGAATTTTGAGTGACTCTAAAAAAAAATTTGTTTATTACAATGTAGTTTACTTTTAAAAAATAATAAATCATTAAAAAATTGAGTTTCTTATTTCTCTGATGGTGTAAATACAGTCGAGAAGTCTTATAGTGTTAAAGTAATTTTTCTCGTAATAGTGTGCTTCCTCTTTTCCTTCCACTCAAAAATCAAATACATAATCGGCCCCCTCCAAAATGAAAATCTATATACGCCATTGATAGTTACAACAGACTACAGTAGAAGTATTGAAAATTGAATAGGTAACTGTAATAATCAATTAATTGGTACAAATTATTATAATTCAACTTGTACAATAATTCAATAAATAGTGAACATAAAAATCACAAACTATTGATACTACCTATATTTAATAATTTTACTGAAATTATAAATAAATAAATTATTATATTAGTAACAATAACATAGAACTATTCAAATAGTTGTATAAAAAACTAGCGTACATAGTATCTTCTTTGCACTTTTCAAAAAATACCCATGCAGTAGAAAGAGAAATAAATTATGTGAAGGGAGTACTACCACGATTCCTAGTCTTAATTGGTTACAATATTGCGTTTACGAGTACTTGCCTCATATTTTACAAGGAACTTGTCCATATCAACATTCAATGCAATTCGAAAATTAAAACAATGTTAGTACTTGGTGCAGAAAAGCTATAACTTAGGCACACTGGTAAAGCAAAATTGACTGAAGGAATTTGTCATTTTCAGTCATGTTAGATATATATAAAAAAAAAAAATACGCTAATAATAGTAATATGATGATATATTTGAACTAGTTTTAAAATAAATAAAAGTAAAGAAAAGTAGATAAAACAAATAAAGGTATTAACATTATTAATACTGTTACGTCGACCAAGCATTGGTCGCGGCGATATTAGTGAATCCGGACGGCTATTCACTAATCCCGTATCACTACGTTGTAACGTCGACCGCACGGAACTGTAGCAATGACGCTCACTCGCATGACCCACTACTCTCGTGTCTCCGACGTCGTGACGGTAGAGTCGAACGGTGCAATTGTGCCACACTTTACAATAAAAATAAAGGGCGCTAACAGTCATAATAAACCATTATGATCGCACACTAGATAAAACATATGTAGTTAGTCAAATCAAAGTAAAACCAGTCGTCATAACCTGACGAGGAGGATGTTGCCATTCCTGTTTTATCTTTTCTTTTAAAAGAAATTGAACAGGAAGAAAATAAATTTTGTTTTTATAATCATAAAGAGACTGACGCTCTTGAACTAACGATTTTAAATTTTCGAGGTTTATTTCATGCTCAACTGACATTTCATAAGCCTATTGAATAAAATAAATAATAATATACACATAATATGGTACATTCTATTTATTTACTTAATTTTTAAAACTTCAGATAATGCGTTTAGTATATAGTATGTCAAAATTATGTACATGCATAAATATAATATAATTACCTTTATATTGTAGACAATTTAGCATAAATAAATAATTGTTGACATCATTTTGATATAACCACAGATTATATACGATTATTATATACTCGTAAAACCAGATGGTGCATTCCATATTCGGCCCATGTTATTCTCAAAAATGTAAAGAAACCAAAACCTACCTCAAATCAGTATCACCACGAATAAGGAAAATAAGGCTTTATGAGAAATTATTGTTTATTAGTTACGCATCACTGACTTTTGACGCCTTTCAGACGTTATATTCGTATCGGGTACCAATTACCGAATTTTTGTTATTTTCACAAATCTATGGTATAAATTTTTTTTTGTATTAATTTTATAACCAAGACAATACTTGTAATTAACATATCTACATTTATATTCAAATGAATTTCAAAAGATGAGAGTTTACTTAGCTGCTCAAACTTTTAGTACAACTGTTGCAGCAGGCGTGGAAACCTATTTAACATTAAATAAATTACTAATTTCTTCAAAACAAACCATTAATTTTTTTAAAGATATTGATAAATTGTTTGATATTTTTAATTCATATAAAAGATCTAATTTAAAAGATTTTAATAGACCATTCAAAAATACTCAGTCTCATAATTCACATTTATTAGTCATAGAATAATTCTTTACAAACTTAAAAGTTTTTGATAAAAATAACATAAATGTAACTAATCGAATGAAATTTATTAAAGGGTGGTTAGTTTCCATTGCTGGTTTAAATTTACTGTAAACAATATTAAAACGTGAAAACCCTGGTCACAACTATGTTCTATACACTAATAGATTAAACCAAGATAGAATTGAAAACCATTTTGGTACATTTCGCAACCAAAATGGTAATAATATGAATCCCACTCCAGTCCAATTTTATTATGCTTTTAAAA